TTGAGTCAAAGTTTTAAGTGTACCCATCACCCAGATAGTATGCATTGTACCTTTTAGGTGTGATTTTGCCCAACCCCTTCTCTCCCCTCTCATCTCCTTGATTTCCATTGAGTTTTACTTCCATTCATGCATATAGCATATCCTAATAACACTGGAACTCTTTTTTCCTCATACTGCTTTGTGATACCATCTTTGTTGTAAATTAAATGCCTATGTTTGTATGGCTCTGCTTCTGAGCTTTCTATTCTGGACCACTGGTTTGTTTATCTTTGCACTAGTAACTCACTGTCTTGTTTTTATTGTCATAACCTTGTTCCCCAAGAAGGTTTTGGCAATCTGTGATTTTTCTGTATTTTCATACAAATTTTAGGGCTAGCATATGAAGTCCAAGAAGAACAACAACAAACAACTAGAGAGAATTTTAATTTTGTTTAGGATGGAGAAGACTGGAATATGCATCATTATCTACACTTAAAATAAGAAAAAGCTGTATGATAGCAAAATCACTACTTAAACCTTCCAGAAACTGAAGTTGCAGTGCAGCCAAGTAGCCTGAAATGTAAGGAAAGAAAAGCGCCTCCATGGAAAGATAAGACACAAGCACTGCCTTACCTCTGGCAGAGCATAAAAGAGATACCAGACGCCTACAAACAAGTAAGAAAAAATATGGGAAATTCTTAAAAGCTGAGAGTATAATAACAGGAGACTCTAGAATTCCTGGAACCTGCTAACAGGACAGGGATTTTCACCTATCTGTCGAGTTTACTCCATGGACCTCATCGGGTATCTAAAAAGAGAATTGAGTGCAGGGCAGGGACTTTACAAAGCCTTCCTTAATGGTAGGCTTCCTTCATGGTAGGCCTGAAGGATAGAAGCAGCCACCACTGTCAAAAGAGCACACAGTCCTGCCTGGACTCTTCTTCACTAAAAAACAGTATTTGTTCTTCATCAGGGGAAGGCAGGAAACCTTTTTGTTTTGGGGAAACAGATAAAGACCTACACTGTGACCTGGGGAGAGGAAAGAGGAAAACCTGCTACTCCTGGAGGAGTAACAGGAAGCCATCTTGGCTCTCCAGCCATTAAAAATATAATAAATACCCTAAAGAAAGCCCATTTAACAAGATTCAAGGACAGGGACCTTATCTAAACCTGAGGCTGGATCAGGACAACAGAGAATCCGGTGTCCCACAGCAAGCTAATAAGAATTAAGTATCGAGTAATAGCAGCCCCTACTGCTAGGTGAGGGAGCAAAAATGTGATTAGAGTTCAAAAGCAAGGGTAGAGCAGGAAAAATAAGAAAAGAAATCCTTTAGCAACATAGCATTCAATGTAGGTGCAAGGTAATACCAAAGGGATTTGAAGGTAGTGGTATAGTGAAAATACCTATGAACCAATAATTCCTGAATAAGATGGATTCCTGACTGAACTGATTCAGCCTTGTGCGCTAAAATTCTAGCAGAAGACAATGCATACGACATACATTATTTTTAAATGTCTCTACCATCCCACACGTGATGCTCAGAACTGAAAAAAAAAAAAAATTATAGGGCAAAAAACAGACAAGAAAAAAAAAAAATCAACACCCTGTCAAGAGACAAAGCAATCAACATAATTGAATGCAGAGATGACCCAAATGTAGGTACTATGAGGAACCATCTTAGTTGGTACAATAAGAAATTTTAAGTGCCTGTGATTAATATGTAA